TGAAAATCAAAGTAAAAAAAAGATCAATAAAAAAGATGCAGCAGGTTAGTCCAGTTTTCAAAAATTTCACTGCAGCAACTCAGAATGGCACTCAGTAGTTTGTATGGCCCCCACAAGCCTGAATGCATGCCTGAAAATATCATAACGCGCAGCATAATGTTCTCCACCGCTTCTCCTGACATTTTCACATGCGTCTCATGTCCACAGGGTGAACCTGGTCTCATCTTTGAAAAGCACAGTGCACTAGTGGTGGACCTGCCAGTTCTGGTATTCTGTCCAGCTCTCCTAGATTAATCTCTCTCTTAGAATCTCCTCCATGCTCTCGAGACTGTTGTTGGACTACCTGTGCACACTCTCTGCAAGGACCAGGTATCACCTCATGTTACTAGTATGTAACCGTCTGCTACTGAACTGACCCAGACGTTTAACTGACCTGATGCTATACTCTGATTAGCGTTCCTTTAATTATTGTTTGACCAGTGCATATTTTATGTGTCTTTTGGAAAAACACAATTATACAAGCATTCAAAGTACATACAGAACACATGCAGTGTATATAGGCCAGGAGTGGCAAACATTTCCTTATAGGGAAACATTAGCATAGATAAAATAAGCAAAAGACCGCACTAGGGGCAGAACAGGCAGTGACCTCGTTAACTGCTGACTCAAAACAATGCACCTAAATTCAATATCAACTTTCATTATTAATATCTTATCTAAACTGAGAAAAACATGTATACAAAAACATGATATTGCAGTTTAGACCTACATCACTGCATTAAGAACAAAACACAGCCTTTTACACTCATTCACTGTGATGATGTCATGTGTCATGAAACTGTGTTGTTCTTCTGAATCAAATCATGGCTGCTGATGTGAAAACACAGCATATAGATGTGCCCCAATTCCTGGTTCTGACTGGTTTAAGTCAGTGATGGCATTGAAAATCTGTTTATTGAACACAAATGAACTACACACGGGTTCAGTTTACTGCATTTTTAAGCCACTTGTCTCAGAACACCAAAAAAACTAAAACAAACAAACAAACAAAAAAAAACCCCAAGCATGTATAAGATCATTGGTGCCACAGCTGACTCAAGCTGACTGAGTTACTGGCACCCTGGATGCCTGCATGCATCTGCTGCAGCAGCCTTGCATTCCCTGATCGTTCTCAGAAGAAATCTGACTGCACTGAGGCACCGAGATGAGGTGCTCCAACCAGTACTTGTACCATTCTTGCAGCAGCACCACACCCTGTTTTGGCAGGACAATACCTGTCCACACAGGACAGGTCTTTGTGGATCAGGAGCATATCCTGACATATCATTGGCTTACTTATTTCTAATACGCCACCTACTGAACATACAATTTTTTCAAGGCAGACACAACCGGTGACTATTCATTGGCTGTACTCAACCAGTATGAAAGAGCAATTCTTCAACACTTGTACCATCAATGCACAGATGCACAACAGCATGCACCATGTCCACAGGTCATACCTCATTTTAGATCTCTTGTTTGAGCTTCTATTATAGTTGATGTATAATGCCTATTTAAAAACACTTGCTGACCAGTATATTTTAAGTGTGAACACTTTATGTAGTCTTATCGAGTATTTGCATCTTTATCTACGTGCAAGGCCTCTTTTGTTTTTGTAGCACAGCCAGAGTTTTCAAGTCCTGATTGAAAAAGTTGTATCAAGATTTATTTTTTATTTTTGCTTTTAAATTAGTAAAGAGTGTACGCACAGTATGCTACCCTATTAAAACACAAGAAGTCCATGAAAGAATCAGTTTGGTGGTTATAGCTGAATGTGAGTGAGGCATACTTGAGGAGGAGAACAAATGTCCTGTAGAGCATCGCCTGCTGATCTGGACTCAGAGGAACAGAAGCTGGTGCCAAGAAATAAGAACAAACAAACAACTGCATTTAAAAGAAAAGCTGAACAGAGCAGAGCACACATGCATCATTAACTTTAAAAGGCTTCATAGGAAGCAGTTAGCTAGTGAAGTTACTATCAGGGAACTTATACTCAGTGACAGCATACCGTCATGTCCACATTAATGATCTACACTGACCCTGCTTTAGGTAATCATCCCTACCATCCTCTATAAAGCAGTAGTACTGTACAGATGAGCACATCTGTCAGATTTAACTCACATATTTCTGTATTATTATTGCAGCTGTTTCTCAGATTTGAGTAAGCCTGTTATTTATCAATGTAATTTGCACTACTCTCTTAGATTAACTTAAAGAAGAGAAAAAAGTCAGCTCTCTAAGTTTTCTTTTCTTTCTTTCTTAAAAAAAAAAAAATCACTGTTGTATATATAATTTTTTTTGCCCTTATACTTATTTTAGTACACCCCATTATCAGCTTTGCCTCAGAAACAGCTCACTTGTATGAAGTGGCATACACAGCATTATTTGTTGTTAGATCCGATCAAGCCTGTCTTGGTTTTGGGGAATTGCTTATGGGTGGTTTCGAAATTCTGATGCTGAAAGGCTTAAAAGAAAGACTTCTTGAAAAAGTTTAAAGCAGCAAAATAAACTTCAGCTCCCACTTTTCTTCTTCTGTTTTTTTTTTTTTTTATGAACCTGCATTAAAGCCCTTACTCGTGAGTCTCATTATTCTAACTTTTCAAGGGGAAGCTGTGGCTCATAAGGTAGAGTTATTAACCCAGTCTTTTATTGAGCACAGCTCATGATGGGCAGTCACACCTCATACATGCCTTTCTGTTATTGGGTTGCATTGCTGTAACTATACACAAAGCCTAAAGTTGCACCACTCTTGCCACAACATTTCAACATAAAGTAATTTTTCATCTTTTACTTGCCAATGAAAGAGGAACAAGACACACGCAACTTGTTTGTACAAGTCTTAAGCCTGCAGGGGTGAACATGTTTGGGGCTAAAGTTTCCAATATAAAGAAAGTGGATATCTGAACATCAACGAGCACCAAGACAAGCAAATTTCAGTCATTTGCGTCGTACCTGAGACAAAAGGTGCCAGTATCATGCTCCTCCAGGTCCGGGAGAAACTTGAAATCTGCGGAGCACAAATAAAATAATTACTCGTTGTCAAACTGGAAAGTTATTTCTGGCACCGGACATCCTGTGGTGCAGTGGTTAAACTGTGCTCTACCAAATGCAATGCCACTGCTTTCGTTCCAGCAAACACATAAACACACACATAAACAACCAAAGCCGATGCTCTGCACAAATGTCTGAGCATCAACTCCAGTGCTGCATTACTGTAAAGACATAAGGCATATATGGTTTATGACACTTTAGAGAAAATGGGTTTCCAAGTGAAAAAAATGCCTTTTTTCAATTCGTGAAATAAAAGTGATGAATTACCTCCCACAAAGCCGGAACAGCCACTATTGCCTCCAATACCTTCTGGAGGTGGCTGATCTGAGGAAGAGAAATATTTACATTCAGGTGTTACTTCCGAAACACAACCCAGCTGCTATTTAGGAATAATGTATTTATGGATCTTCAGCTTGAAAATATTTCCAAGTACTGGAGAAAAAACCCCTCTTATTTCACGCTACTTGTTTTTTGGGTCTTTGAATAAAAGCGTGATGCACGTTCTCACCAGGTTGAAGCCGAGCAGCTTCTGAAGCAGGCTGTTCCACAGCTGAGGGTCGTAAATCTGGTACTCCAGGCACAGGTCTGCTACCAACCGCACAGCCTGAAAGGATAAAAGGTGCTTCCGGTTTTGTGTCTGACATTTCTAACCCAATGAAGTAAAAGTGAGGAAACAAGCTGGAATAATTTGAATGTTGTCTGTCAGAAAGTACCTGAGGCTCATGACTGTGGTTCTTCCAAAGCCCTTTAACTAAACCCTCTTTGGGACTACTGAGAAAGGACTGAACTGTGTACGGGATGTTTAATGCTTCCAGTTGCGAGACAAAGATGTAACACTTCAGGTAATATCTGCATATGAATAGAAACCAGAGAAACATTAGTTACTATAGACCTACAGGCCATACAGGTACCGTTTAACTTTTCATGGATTCTTACGGGATTTTGGTGATGGGGATTTGCAGCTGAGCCTCCAGAATGGGTGCATCAGCGAGGCGGACGAGACAGAGTAGCGCTCGAGTCCGATGGCAGAAGGTCAGACGAGGCCCAGATGTGCTAAGCGGCTAGAGAAGGGACATCAAACACAGATTTAGTTGGACTTTTCCCCCATTATTGCTTTTGTTTTGTTTTTTTCCCCTTTAAACGCACCCAAGTTTCTGCAGTTAAGATAGGGCTCAGATGACGGACAGCATCTTGCATCGAGCAGGACTGCAGCATGTACACCACCCTGTAAGCATTAAAAACACAGTGAGTAGAACGACTACGCCAGTGGGTTCTCAACACAGAGCCAGAGAGAATTTAGAGCAACCAAGTAATCTTTATTTCATTCATACTGCAGATGCATGCAACATCTGTGGGCGCTGCTAAAGGCTTTTGTAAGAAAGAAAGAAAGAAAGAAAGAAAGAAAGAATGAAAGCACTCTGTAAACAGTAACCAATATCTTAGGGTTGCACTTGCATGTCTGCGGCTGCTCTGTCGTACATGTGAGCTTTGAGGTCTCGATCTGTGGTTGCCTTTGAAGGCAGAGTTGACAGCTGAGCAGAAGACACACTGCAGTGTCACTGCTAACATCCTTTGTAACTCAAAGGTAAACTATCCTGTTTTAACGAATTATCATTAAGAAAAAAGAAAAGTAGTAAGAATGGAAAAAGTGACTGCGCTACCTCATCAAGTCTGGGTCCTCCTCAATGTTGCTGACACAGTCACTATACCCAATATCCTAATTAAATAAGAAGAAAGAAAAAAGTTTAGTTGCACTATACACACAGCAGCAAATTGGATAACACACAAAACAGGAAGAAAAACAATAAAAAGGCCGAGCGATAAGATAAAGCTACGACTGACAAACCTTGACCACAGCCGGGCCCGTCTTGCAGATCCATTTTTCTAACAACATGGTACGAATTTTTAGAAGATCCACATTATTGACTGTGGCTATTTCTTTAACTGCACCATGTATATCTGAGAAATAGAGAGACCTGGTTATATATTTAGGAAAAAAGCGATCTTAAAAAAATAGCATTAACTACTGCGTTGACAAGTGTGCTCACCTGGATACGTCTGACCTCCTGACTCTTTGTAACGCTGTTCCACACTGCTGTGCTCGTACAGGGCCATTATGAGCCTGCCTGGCAGCCCAGACAGCTTCATCAGCTCTGGGCTGTTCAGCTGACTGGATATTAAAGTATTCTCAGTGGCTGAGCGCTGAAACTGTAGCTTCAGCTTGGACAGAAAGGTGTCTCCTCTGGCCCGTGCTGCCTCCTGTGTGAGATCAGAGGAGAAGGAGAGGAATAAAAATATCATCAACTAATGTATAAAAAACTTTTTAGATGGGCATTTGAGACATTTCAGAATGTGAAAAATTCAAAGACTGACATCAAGGTGTGGATCCTTTAACCAAGTGTCTCCAAGTGCCAAACAGAACCTGAGTGACTGTGTCTTCTCATAGCCTGTAGAGAAGAGGAAACAGCTAAGTGCATCTATACAAACACCCCTCACAGTCCAGCGTAGAGTCAAACGTGCAGCTCAAACCTGGCGGAAGCTCCTGGGTTATCTTGTGGGCCGTGGCAGCAGCCCACTCTGGGCTTTGGATACATTTGATGTACTTCATCATAGTCTTCGCCACCTTGAAAGTCTCCTTGTTTTGACAATGCCCCTGACCCATTTTCCTTTGCTCTAAGATTAACGGCTTCATTTTCTTCTCAAAGACATGGTTTGCTGCTGACATGTAGAGCTTGTCAAGGCTCACCTGTGGAGCAACAGGATGGTTTTAACAGCCTAAATTACCTAATTTTATGAATAAAAGAATATTTTCTGTGATTAAACAGACTAAGGCCGTGGTTTAGATTAGTGTGGCTTTACCTTCATGAGTTTGCTAATCAGCAGAAGTGTGGGGAAGGTCTCCTCACTGAGCTCAGGACCTAAACAAAGAAGAATATTTTAACTTCATCAGTTTTAAACCATCTCATCAACTCTACCAGTATACTTCTGTCTGTAACTCAAAAGGGTTTTAATGAACCATGATAAAAACTTTGTTGGGGTGTAGAGTGGGGTCATGTTAACAATCCATTAAAAATGGGCTTAAGTCAACCAAAGCCTTTGAACTATAATTCTTAAATTTTTGGTGTGTTTTACTTTGAACCTATGGCACCTGCAACAACAGCAAAGAAGGCAAAACCTTAATAAAATGTCTTTAAAACTATGATTAGAGAGAATGAGCTACCTAGTTAGTTAGAAATATACTGTACTGTAATATTATATAATAAGCTTAAGTTATTGATGCCCACTTACAATACAATACCCTTAAAAGTAAATACTGACCACAAATGGAGCTTTTTGATTCTTGTCTATGATAATTATTATTTTAAAAGTAATAGATGCCAGTGTGCAAACATGTTCACAGTTCAGGAGAATAGCTGAAATGACTTCCTTTTAGACAACACCTACATTATAACAACCTTCTACCACTGCAGATGTGATGAAGATACGTTTATGAGCATTAATACTGAGGTATGAAAAGGTAACAGTGGTTAACTTACAGATAATCTTCCAGTAATGCTTGGTCTGCATAAGCAGGTGGAAGGGAAGTCTGCTGCTGGAAAGGGGGTTTGGCAGCAGACCGGTTTCGAGTAGATGTGTGTTCTCCACGTCTGTGGGAGGAGAGACTCGCGTGTAGGACTTCAGATGCTGCAGGAGACCCATCGCCTGTGGGTATAAAGTCAAATGTTTCAAGTCCCAACATTTCATTTTGAACACAGTGAACTACATAGGCTTGAATATGCCAGTGTGTTTGGTTTTTACCTGACCAACAGAGAGGCTGGTCACGTTCTCATCTGCAGCCTGTATGATCTTCAGCACCACTTCTATTCTCTCGTAGTTGTATGGGCTGAGCTGTATGAGAGGAAACGTTTTACAGATCAGCTCAACAGATTTTTGTAGGTTGGAATTAGATTTTTTTTTTAATGTTTAAAAGTCTTAAAAACAGGTAATTTTAGCCTATACTATATTTTAATAAGAAAGACCTTGAATATGGCAGCACAGAGGTTATCTGTGAGCTTGCTGGTGTTGCGTAACATTGGGATGATCTGCAGGACTCGATCCAGCGTGTCAGTGTGAGACAGAGGTTGCGCCTCCTCCTGACCGACAGCTGGATCACCTGCACCTTCCTCATCCTCCTGGAGCAGCAGTAAGGTGGTAATGTACTGGTTGATTACACTATCATGGTCCAGATCGTAGGTGCTGCAGAAAGGGAAAAAACTACTTTTAGCATAGCTGAGCGTGACACATACATGCACTCCAAAACAGGGTGGACATTTAAACACAGTCCAGACACATTCGCCCAACATGTTAGATGGTCAAAAGTGACAACAGGAGGAGCTGACCTGCAGTACTGGAGGATAATGTCTGGGGTGATTCTCTTGTTTTTCACTAAAACAGGGATCAGAGTGCTCTTCATCTCAGACCGCTGACGGAACACTGGCTGGATTGATATCTGGGAGAGAGACGCACAATAACAAATATGAAGTGATACAAAACAGGGAGAGAGAATGAAATACACAAAAAATTAAACAAATCATTATAGACCTACACTGCTCAAAAAATTAAAAGAACACTTTTTAATCAGAGTACATTAGGTCAGTTTAGTAGGGGGGGAGTTGTTAAGTAGTTTCAGCTGCTTTGGTGTTATTAAAATTAACAACAGGTGCACTAGTAGGGCAACAATAAGACAACCGCCATAACAGGAATGGCCTTACAGATGGAGATCACTGACATTTTTCCTCTCCTCGTCTTTTCTGACTGTTTTTCTTTTGTTCCTAGTTTTGCATTTGGCTAGCGTCAGTGTCACTGCTGGTAACATGAGGTAATACCTGGACTCTGCAGAGGGTGCACAGGTAGTCCAACTCCTCGTGGATGGCACATGCATATGTACCATGGCCAGAAGGTTTGCCGTCTCCAAGAACAGTTTTAGTAGCATGGAGGAGATTCCAGGAGACAGACAGTTACTCTAGTAGAGCTGGACAGGACCATAGAAGGTCTTTAACCCAAACACAGGTTTGAGCACTGCCAGAGCTACAAAATTACCTCCAGTAGGCCACTGGTGTGAATGACTTTGATCAACAATCAGAAACAGACTTGATAGGACTCGCCTGAGTGCACAATGTTCTCTACTGGGCGCTGTGCTCACTGCCTGGCACCATAGAGCCTGATTGATATTAGCTATGAATACCAGAATTCAGGTCCCCCACTTTTCACAAATGAAAGACGGGTTCACCCTCAGAACATGTGAGGGAAGTGAAAGGGTCTGGAGAGGGTAAGGAGAGCATTAAGCTGCCTGTAACATCGTTCAGCATGACCAGTTTGGTGGTGAGTCAGTGATATGCCTGCGGAGACAAATCAATGGAAGGAAGCAGAGACCTCTACAGGCTAGGCAGTGGTATCCTGATTGTCATTAGGTATCAGGATAAAATCCATGGCCCCGTGGTGCAGTGGGTCCTGGGTTACTCCTGGTGCATGACAATGCTCAGCCTCATGTGGTGAGGCACAAGCACGTGGGGGCCATACAAACTGCTGAGTACTATTCAGAGTTGCTGCAATGACATTTTTGCAAAATGGACTTTGATTTTGGGGCTGTCTTTGAATTAATATTGATCAAACATAGCGGCATCCATTCATATGTAACACATTACCTAGTCCATATCACTGTAGATATCAGTATGATTTTTCCCCATTGAGACCCGATGTGTTGTCTAAGTGTTCCTTTAATGTTTTTTAGAGCATTGCATTTAAATAGACCAGACTGATTTAAATACTTCATTACCTCCAATTTGCCAAGCTTGATTCCCCACTCAGCATCAGTGATGACAGAGAGAAACCTCCTCTGTTCTTCTGCCTCGTTATATAAACTACAGAGATTTGCTCCAATCCTCGCCACAGCCTGGAATAATAAAACACCGTAAGGGATTTCTGGAATATAACATCGATTTTTATTTTTTTCATTTTTTCTACAAAATTGATAACTGCTTGATATAACTGATTCCCAAATGTTTATGATCTCAGGTTCTTTAAACAAACTTCAGCTGAATCTTTTCTGTAGTCAAAGGGAAAAAACAAAACGATATGACAAAGTCTGATATTTATGGACTCACTAACTGATACACAGAAATAATAAAGTCTGTTTTTGCCCATTTCTTTCTCTTAAATTTCACTTCCTAAAAACAATAAAACAATCTTTTTTTAATTTAATTTTTTTTTTTAAAAGAAGAGATTTTATTGCTTACCAAAATCTTGTCATAGTTTTGCCAGGTGTTGTCAATAACTTTCCACAGTATTTTGAAGACCTCTGCTTTGGAGAGGAGTGTACAGAGACCAATAGCCAAATCACAATCCACCACCCTCCAGTTTAACACCTGTAGCCAATAGACAGAAACATAGATGGCTATTTAAAATATACCAAAAATGCTGTTCATCTACCACAGAATTTTTGTGGTTTTGTGGACTTGGCTGACTCACCTTGTTCAACAGTGGCACAGCCACAGCATTCAGAGTAGACGTAGTTGTCTTCCTGTGATCGTTCAGGCACAGGTTGTACTTCTTAAGCTCTTGTGCGTCATAAAGCTGAGAGGAGATAACAATCATTTTCAGTATAACGTCTTGAGAAACACAACAAGCACCGCTGTGAATATCGCAGTTGTACCTGTAGGCTCAGCTTTATATCCATGACGTTTGAGGTGACATGCTGCAGGCAGCTGCCGTACGCGTTGACCAGCACTCTGAGGGCCAATTCCAGCTGACTGCACTCCTGTAACATCTGTAACATGTTGGCCAGGGGACCGAAGAGCGGCCGCAGGTAGTTTGAACCTGCATGCATGATGAGACATGAGGTCAACATACAAAACTGCAATTTGATAAGAAAACATAGAAAGCAGAGGAA